CCTGACGACCTTTCAGGTATCTGCAATAGCAATTATTCAGAATTTTATACAGTTATCTTTGGTGTAACTTGAAAATTTCATCTTGCGAATATAATGCTCAGAACACGCTAAATAATTCAATGTTTGAGTCCCCAAGCTTCAAGCTATTGTATCCTCTCCTTACCCTCCCAGGCTCACAGTTTGTCCAACAGATCATAAATCCGCCCATAACAAATTGTATCTGCAACGGGACATTAGCATCGGAAACCTTCTCTTTGAAGGCGCAGCAGGCGAGACATTCGGGCGTCTCGTGGACTACGGCCATGCTAAGAAAGCGGAAGGCTCAAAAGAGATATTTCGTCACAAGTTCAAAGATGAGGCCTTTCAGATTGACCGTACCTTCGCCACACTGGCCGAAGAATCTGATTCACGGTGGCAAGTGGAAGCTGCTGTTGCGCTGGAAGCCGCTGCATGTGTTGCGCATCCTATGTATGGCGGCGAATATCTTTTCGATGTCATATAGTATCTAGGTGAGTGAACAACATATACTATAGTATGTATATAGCTGATTGCTTCTCTCAGAAATCAGATAGACTGGCACGCAACCTATGTCAAAATGCATGTTATCAGCAATTAAACAAGACTCGGAAAGCCACGCCGTCTGAGGTGAGATTGCGATAGCTGTTAGAATTTGATGCAGCACCCTCTTCGAAATTGGCCATTCATCTGGAAAATGTATAGCTATGTCCAATGAACTTATGACCAGTTTTGTATTCCTAGGCATCTTTTGTATCAATTATGCAGCCTGCAAGACCAAGATTGAGGCCTGCATCACGCTCGCGCGACGCGACCAGCGGTATATCGAGCTGGCTCACCAGAATGTTCAACATTTCCACGCACTTACCAGTTCAATGTACTTAGATACTTTGAATCAATCACATTACAAGCGACCCACTCATGATAATGACATTGCACATAGCAGTCCTGAAGACGCGAAACGCGCCCACTCGAGCGGTGTTTCAATTCGGTTGTTTGGCAAAGGCCTTTGGGGTTCCTCGGCTACAACGACTTTCATCAAAATGTGGGGGTTCCTCGAGAAACCCTGGGTTTCTCCGAGAAACAGGGTTTCCAAATAGTTTTATCCTAGCAAATGTCCGTCAATTTCGATCTTTTTTTGCTTCATCAAAGTAAGCTCATGAATCAACCACAGAAAGCATTGTCTTTGCTTTCTGCTACGTCGATGTTGTAGGCATGGCTTGGATCACTGAATATTCTCAGGCATCTCCGGTAGTTCTAAAAATGCCAGTGCCAAGGGGTAGGAATAGCTCAATCAGTAAGAATTTGGCCTGGACCACGTCTAGACCATTTTTTACAACATCATCTCACAGGATGCGGCATCCATCCAACCTTACATCTCGAACGCCCATTGGCGGCGAAAAAGGTTTGCTGACAGTTTCTACTTGATCAGATCATTCACAAGACAACTATTTAGCGTGCACACATCCTACTGGGAATCCATTATCACATCCGCAAACTCGCATCTCAGTTCACTTTACCATGGACGTGTTCAATCCAAAAATTCTTGATGCTAGCATTCGGGACGTTGCTTCATGTCTAACCGATAACCAAAAGGTTGACCTTCTTCTGTACGCCATCCGGAGTCTGCCACCAGAGGGGTAAGTACCATAACTGTAACAAGTGATCTCTTCCTCACGAGATACCGGCAGACGCTGTAGAACGATAATCGAGAACGCAATACAATCGTGCCTGTTAATCCCTACTCTTCCTCCTGAAAATAGGGCGAAGGCTCGAATATTGCGGGCCAGGGCTAGGCTTGCAGCTGGGTCCCATTTTGGCGCCCAGGAGGGTATGCTCTTGTTCCCATGATACTGACCCTTGATTGGCTGATACCTGTCTTTGCTTTATCCTAGATCTTCAGGCAGCACTCGTAGCAGACCCCGACAACCCAGAGGCAAAAGCATTGCTACATCAACGCTCCGTGTCGGTCGAAAAGGTGCGTTCAATTTGTTGCAGGCCGAGCCCGTAAACGTGGCTGATGAGATCTGTCTAGCTATTATCGCCCCTTCCTCCCAAAAAAGAACGCTTCTCCATTGAAATATGGCGTGAGATCGCTCTTTATTTACCGCGGCACGACCTTAGGGCATTACTATTCATACCTCATGCCGTATCCCGTGTTGCCAGCCAACTTCTTTTCAGAAGGCTCGACCTACACTTCGGTGGAATTGAAACAGAAGAGGCTCGAGGTGATACATGCGATGTCGGATTCGCTAAAGACGAAGATGCTCGGCATGCTCAAAGGAGCGCAGATATTCTCACTCGCATCATCATTGACCCTACCTTCGCCAGTGCTGTTAGAACGCTCAGAATTTATGCTCCGATACGCGATAGGGAAGGAGCATTGGCGTTCCAAACAGGTGAGGCATTTTTTTTAGCTTTCTGCGGACTCTAGTTTGATAACAGCCGTAGGCATGCTGACAAACGCGCTTCCTCATCTTAACCACCTCCGCAACGTCCATATTTCTGCTGGCGCGGACGGCATTATACCTGTACTTCGAGTACTACAGATATATACCCCTCGTTTACGTGGCCTTTCTTTATAGTGCGTGACATCTCTTATCCGTATCTCCACTTTGCTCATAAACGTAGCTCGCCTGATGGACCTACCGATCTTCAACTTGAATTCAAACATCTTGCTCACTTTGCATGCTCGACATCGGGGGGTTCAACGAACCAAGTGCAATCTCTGCTAGCACAAAATCGCGATACCCTACGGACCGTTTACGTCGATAATCGGCTCTGGGTCTTCCCCACGAATAGCGTCTCTATCCGGAACCTCACCGACTTCCACTTCTCAGGACACATCCCATTAAATAACCAGCTCTTCGCTGATATCATAGCTAATGGCCGTCAGCTAGAATCTCTCTCGCTTTGCTGTTCCCTTGATGGCTCAATATCACAGCAATTTCGCACGACCCCTCATGTATATACATATGGTCCTGTTTTACCTTTCCTTCGCCGCTTTGCATTCTCGATAACGGCAGTACACCGTAGAGTCGCTGACCGTGACCTCTTCCCTGCCGTCGCAGATTTTCTCAGAGGACGTCAGCAACTACGGTCTCTCGTGCTCACTGTGTATGAAGAGGGCCTACAGCACGCTGTGGGATTCGACGCCTCCGTATGGGGCGTTCTCCCATCGCTTTTCCACCTTCGCAGCCTGAAAATCTCGTATCCTGCTGACTTATCGCCTGGCTTAGCGTCCTGGCTGATCCCTAGGAGTGTATTGGCGCTGGCGTTGACATTTGATCATGTACCTGGGCCATCGTTGCCAAGGGACCCAGTTTCCTTCCTCGAGGTAACATTTGAACTCTACTGTTTAAAGTGACTCAGACTGATGTCAGGAACTGTGATGCACAGCAACTTCGATCTGGTGTTCCACCGACATTACGATACATTGGCTTACCAGATTGCATACCTTTACGAAATCTATCGGTTGTTGTCGGGCACGGATTTCCTATGGTGCGTGTTGTGCGCGTGGGCAATGGTTATTTGGGCGTAGTTCGGGGAGAGGACGGCTCGGTCAAGGACATGGAACCATGTCCTAAACGGACAGTGGCGTACCATTGCGTCGAGTGGTTAGAATGGCGAGGGTGTGAGGATGCCTGTGCGTGGGATCCGTCCGAGTTCCCATCATAGAGAATGTTGTACAAGCTTGACAAATCCTTGTTTGACTTCCCTATGGTCTTCTGAGAGCCTTACTGTTTTCTCTGTCTTGAATTGTCTTGACGCCAGAAATGTTCGTATGGTCTTGACGTTGGTAGGTCAGCCGACGTCTTAGTTGAACTAGACGCAGTATGTTACAATGAGAAAGAATTTATTAGCTTGCTAAAATCTCTCGGAGGAGAAAAAGCTAAAGAACGTCAGTGTGGTGCATTTACGTCCCATAGCAGAATTAGACCCCCACGTGCGAGTCAGACATGGGGAAGACTCACCTCCTGGGTGGTGAGTCTCCCGGCGTAGGCGCTTGGCCGCCGCCTGTTGATTGGGAACTGCAAAAGACAAAACAAATTCAGCCTATATGCTGATGTCCGTAGCAGGATTCGAGCCTGCGGCTTCTCGGATGCGAATGAACCACAACGAGATGATTTGACCACTAATCGATACGGACAGATGAAAGTTCTCATCAACGATGGTATATGTTTGATGTTTCAACAGTCTTGTGACATATGGCCGAATCTCCACAATCATACCAACGATCCCTGCTGTTACTGACATTATTCTTCCACGCACAGAGTGAGTGCTGTGAACCCGAGATACTTAGTTTTTGAGTTTTTTTTTATTCGCCCGGCAGAGCTGAATATCCAGGATCGGATGTGTATGGCTTTTGATCCGATGCGGCGGTCAAGGAAGGATCAGTCCAAACACCGCTATTCTGCGTCCTATGATTCGTGAGCCTAGACGAGTTTCGGCGCATCGGGCGGTGTATAGAACAGAGTTACAACGCATGCATGTGAGAACTCTGTCATGTCTACGTGAGCAGTAGCTGGAGTTTAGAACAACCTCGTCATCGTCTGCACACCCGTACATATAACAGAAGTTATCTATAGCCTGATTTGACCAAGCTTGAAGTAATCGATACGGATGAACGAGCGTTCGTTCATCCAGAATATCTTCGAGCAGCATTGTGGCTTGTACAGAAAACGAAAAAATAGAGAATGACTCTTTGGTAACAGTCAAATTCGCTGAGGAATACGCAAGAGTTCGAACGGGACTTGTATCACGGTCTCGCATGGGGGAGCCATCCACGCGATCCTTGTATTGAGGGAGAGCAACAAAAGGAGGAAGTCCGTATGCAAATGATTCCCTCTAGCCGACTTGAACGACTGACCTCGTCATATCACAAACTGATACTAGTGACGCGCTCTACCACTGAGCTAAGAGGGACATGTGCGAAATTGATGCAATTGACAATATTACTGAAGTTAAAATAAACGTATTTTCACAACACCAATGTAAGACGGACCGTCGCTGTATGAAGACAAAAGACCTCAGCGCTATCTCGTTGGGGATTCCCAGTAATAATGCAGACAAACTTAAAGATTCTTGTCATTGTTCAAGATGAATACACACGACAAAGTTACGCGTTCAAGAGTATAGCTCATAACGCAATCAAACACACAATGCTAAGGGTACTTGCTATGTTTTGAAGAAACTATAGACCCCAACGCATGATATTCTCAAAGCTCCAACCCCACAGTTTTCGCAAATGTGTAGTACTTAAACAGAGAGCACCGAAAGGCAAATCCACAGGGACCACCTTTCGCAAACGCTCTCTGGGTACGTGTTTCGTCAAACACTGTCATGACATGCACAACGAAGTACTCACTTTACACTTAGTGCAATCGTTCGAGAATACAGCGACGATTACTTGACCTTCTTCGTTACCCACCCTCCTCACCCTGTATTTATGTAGCCGATTGATCACTTAGCCGATTGATCACGCCAATACAGATGCACTCGGGAGTGCTTGACAGGCTTGAGAGCCGTCAGAATCGCGTCACCCGACATTTGCCTATATTTCGTCGCACCTTGTGCCATAAGTCGGAGCATTGGACAAAATTAGGAGGCGCCTCTTCGAGTGCATCTCAAATGCGGATCGTACGGGCAAGTAGCGCAAAACAAGGGCCGAGGCCCCCGGTCGTTTTGATATTGGGACGAGACGGTGGCTATGTTACAAACGAGAGGTAGCTAATAACGATACAGAACAAAATAGAGATACAAAGAAAGCTAAAAATACAAAGGGAGAGGAGGGAGGGTCGCGAAGAAAGAGGAACGCGCTCTACAAACACGACGCGATAGATAAGTAAACGAGAAGGAAGGGTAAGTACAGAAATGCACTTACTGGAGATTTCAAGCTCGATAAGATAATAAATAACACAAATACGACGAGCTTGAAATCTGCAAGGGAGGTCAGGGGACTGAGACAATGGGAGCACGAAGTGCTTACGGTGCAGAGTAGTGCGATGAACGAATAAATAAGATAAAGAAAAGAGCACTACACTGCGAGGGCATCAGCTACAGCTGGAGGGAGAGAGCATGGAAATGCTCACCGTTGCGACCAAGATGGAGAGAGGTACGAAGCAACGGAAAGGTGGACCGCGTCATCCGATCCGCTGCACAGCCTCTGCCCAAACTTGGACACTGCGCAGGGAAAAGACGCGATCGGGGAGATGGCAACAACGTGCCGTGGAGATGGCGCGACGCGCCGGAGGCATCGACAAGGGGTGGGCGATGCTGTGCGAGAGAGAGGCCGCAGAGGCCTCCAAAAATGCTCCTTACCCTCGGAACCCGCATTTACGTCGACCTCTTCGAGTGCATCTCAAACGCGGATCGTACGGGCAAGTAGCGCAAAACAAGGGCCGAGGCCCCCGGTCGTTTTGATATTGGGACGAGACAGTGGCTATTGGGCTAGCAAGGTGGAGGAGGGGTGGTGGTGGTGAAGAAAAGATGTGGCGAGGAGCAATGAGAGAAAGAAGTATGAGGGGGGTTAATGATGTAAACGTGCAAGTTGTAAGGCAGCGCGGATGGCAGGGTTGTCGCGAATGTAAATTTTCCATGCGGAGGAGGACCAACGCCCGAGTGCCATGATAATGTCTTCGTCGATTCCCAGTGATGCGTAGAATGTTGCGCCACCAGCACGAGCGGAGTGGCCACCGAAAGAACGCCCGACGAAGGAGAAAAGCATGGAGTCGAACCATGCTCTGGTAGGATGGGAGCCGTCTTCGCGGAGAAAAAGAGCTCGCCTCGCACCATGGATCTTGTCGCGACGGTCAACGTAGAGCGAGAGGAGAGAGATGGGATCCGCGACGTCTTGGTGGGTGAAGAGGATGTCAGTACCTCTGAAAAAAGGATCAGTCTTGTGATATGGGAGGTGGTACCCGGCGTAGGAATTTGAGAAATGAAATGACGTTCGTTTTATGATTTTTCGCCAGTCGACGGTGTTCTGCGTTTTCAAGACCAGCTCTCCCGATCGGTGGCAAGCGTAAAAAGCACAAGACATGATTGTCGTGAAAAGGAGGTCGTCGTAAGAGCCGGAACGCATCGCGCGATGGTGAAAGGCGGCAAGATGGTGAAGACGCAGAGGCGCCTTCCGTCTCACAGGATCGGCCCTGACTTTCTTCGTGCCTCGTATTGTGGCTTGGACGGATGGGGAGGTGTGGTTAACGTCAAAATCGGGGTAGAGGTCGTGGAGGAAATGGCGTGCGTCAGATAAATATTTGGCACTGGACGCGATAAATAATGATGAATAAGAAATATAACGAGCCAGAGTGGTCGGGGTGGGATCAAGTGGGATGTGGTGTGAACGGCAGAAATGGATGTAATCACGGGCTCCTGTCGCATAGGTAGACCGTGTAGTACTCTCGATAGCATGGGTCTGGAGATGAATAGCTCGGGAATCGATATCCCTAAGCTTGATTGCTCGACGAGGCACTCTAGGAGCAGCCTCGCCGAGCGCGCCTAAAAGCACTCCCTCCATCGCGCCGGCAGAAGTTCCTTTGGAGGGAAAAAATAGCAGACGCGGTCGTTGGAGAAACGACGATGATACTCGTCGAATAAGAGGCGGGAGAGCATATCGGCACGCACGTTTTCCTCACCAGGGATGTGGCAAACCCGTACTTCAATGCCAGTCTTGATGATGGTGGCAGCGACGCCCATGAGGGCAGCATTATGCATCGAAGTGCCAGCTTTGAGCGTGTTAAAGACGCAGACGGAATCGAGGCTGTCTGACCATATCAAAATGCGTTTTGGTGGTTTTGAGAAGGTTGAAACGACGTAGTCGATGGCGGACATGATGGCGATGAGTTCAAGGAAAAAGATGTCCACCGTCTGACAGCCCGGCGAGGGCGCAAGTTTGTAAACGAAGCCTTCGTGTCCGTAGACGAAAGAGAGGCCTAATTTTCCGCTGGCATCCGTCCAAATGACGAGGTCGGCTTGATCATTGGTCCAATGTAAAGAGTCGATGAACAGGACTCCAGTCGAGGAGGGGATAATGTCAACAAGCCAAGAAAGATCAGAGATGACGTCGCGATTAAGGAAAATACCAGCGTTCATTCGAGTTTTGCCAGCGGTCTTGTTGTAAAGCTCACATAGAGCAGGTCGACCCCAAGGAAGAACATTGAGCACCCAGTTGAGATGCCCTGCGATACGTAACCAGGCTCGAAGAGGGGGTCGATGATTATTGGTGTGCAGGAATTCGGTGGTCTTTGCTACTACATCAGATATGGAGTCGTCTGCGAGCGAGATGCTCCCGATGTTGATGTCGACGTAGAACCCAATGATCTTGAGTGCCTTGCCGAATTCTTGTTTCTTGGGTTTCCAAGGACATCCAATGAAATCCCAAAAACGGAGGAGTTTTACTTGTTGCTCCGGACGCCATAGGCCGTGGTGCTCGATCATATTACGCGTGAAGTCCCACGAAAAATAGTCATCCATGTAATCATGGATGTCGAAGATCTCGAAAATCATTATGGCAATCCAACACATCAGTGCTGCTACTGAACACCAACATCTCGGTGATGCTCTGTTTCCGAAGACGAGGCGATGAATAATCCTGAGGGTGTTATCAACTTTGACGACTTGACGAAGTTGATATAACAGGTGCGCAGGAAGATTGAGGAAGGCCGAAGACACGTCAGACTTCCAGAGGACTAGATCCTCTTCGGGATGATTTTTCTTGGCCTCATATAGGACTTGGCCGAACGATCTCATGTCATCGTACCGTACCTTCACCTCGCTACGAGGGATGCCGTCGTTGAGCCCAGAGGCTGTATGGTCCGTTATTATGCGTGCTTTGCCGTTCTGCCAAACGACAAAAATCGGTGAAACTTTCATTCCTGGGAGGAGTGTGGAGGATTTCAATGGTTCGGACCAACGACCTGCCTCAATTTCGTTGTTCTGAAAAGAACGGATAGCATCCAGATCCACCTCCTCGCTGGAGTAATTTTCTATCACTTCTTCTGGCTGTTTACTCCATTTTCCTTCGTCGAAGGGCCAGAAACCATTACGTAGTCCGTCCATGACTGACTTCACGAACGGTTGGTTCGGATGGTCTACGAGGAGGCTCTCAAAACGATCGACATCAAACGGGGTGTCAACTTTAATGTAATCCTTCATGGATTCTAGCGTGGCTTGAAAAGTCGGGTCGTCAAGTAGATGTTGCGGAGGTGAAGGGAGTGGAGCAGCGGTCTCGGTAGCCAACGCTGACGGAGATAGACGAGGAGAAGTGAATTTGTCTTTCCAAAGATATCCCCTACGATATTTTGGATTGTCGTAGTCTGGTAACGTAACTGCTTTTCGTTTACGATTAGCAGCATCTGGAAGAGGACGTGGTCCTTCCAGTTTCGCTTTCGCTGCTTTAAGAGATGTGGCGGCAAGCTTTTCACTGTTGACCACGTCTTCTTTTGAGGTTGGCGAAACACTGGGGGTTGTCTTTAGCTCGATGCGCCCCATGGCACTCGCAGCAGATATTGTGCCGCCTGTGATTGCGGCACGTATCACCCTCGCAACTCGGGTACCCCATGTTCCAATTTTGACAAATGGTCGTTGGGCGTTTTCGTGGCGATAAAGACGAAGACGATGAAGGGCTCCCTCTTTTATGCATGTGAGAAGACCCAGCAAAGAGTTGCGTAAGTAAAGGAAAAGAGAGCTGGTTGGTGTCGTCAAGTTTAAACGGGTGTTTCGCATACGAATTCCGAACTTCATGATCAAATGAAATCGCAGCCGAAGGCAGAGGTGACGAACGGAAGATTCTAACAATGAAATCTCGATAATGAGCGAGCTCTTCGTCTCGATGTTGGTAAAACACGAGCACGGCCGCACGCCAGGCGTCAAAAACTCGCAACCAGTCTGACTCTGTGAGGACAGACTTCTTTTTTGATAAAGTG